TGTTCATGGGAGGGAGGAGGAACAAAGGGAGAGGAATAAGCCTTGTAGAATACATATAATTGTTTAATAAGGAAATCTGCTTCCTCATAAGACTAAGAAATATGCTTAAAACTTAAAGAAATATTCTCCCCAGGGGGTAGGGGAAAGTACCTCATTCACTTTGTTTTAATTGATGAAATTTCATTTCTTTTCTTTTGTGTGAGATGGGGAATTATCAAAATCATTAAGATATAATCATGAATTAGCTCTTCAGTAATTACTTCCTATATTCTTTTTTAAAGTGTAGAGATGGAAATTATATAACGAGTACTTTTTCCAAGGAGGTAGTTGTAGGTTGGGTTAGTCATTACCAATGACATGAGGTCACTAAAGACTTTGAGTGTTTTGTTTTTGCATTTCCTTTTTTAAAAAGGAGTTAACCCTATAATTAAAGGTTCTCTGAGGACAGAGGCACATTCTACATGCATGCTGCTCTAAATTTTCCTCTAAGATTCAATTTTGGGTTCCTTAACGTTATATACCATTAACTTCAGTTTTTCTATGGTATCCCACAACTTGCTTCTTTAATTTCTGGAGACTTCTCCAAAGTGAAATCTGCTCAAAATAAAGAATTACTGGAGACCATTCCAACAATTTTGCTGTTGAGTCATTTCCATCTTGTCCAACTCTTTATGACCCCATTTTGGGAAAAGATACTGGAATGATTTGACATTTCTTTCTACAGTTCATTTTACAGATGAGGAAACTGAGGTAAACAGGATTAAGTGACTTGCCCAGCATCACTCATCTAGTAAGTGTCTGAAGCTGGATTTGAACTCATGAAGATAAGTCTTCCTGATTCCAAGCCAAAGAGCACTTTCCACTGTGCCACCTAATTGCCCAATTCCAACAATAACCAAAGCTTAATTTTACACAGCTTTCTACGTACATTATCTTATTTAATCCTCATTAAAGCCCTGTGAGAGATATGCTATTATTATTCCCATTTTACAATTGAAGAAAACTGAGATTCAGAAAAATTAAGTGATTTGCCCAATTACTATTCTGAGGTAAAATTTCCTGCCTTCTAGTCTAGTGTTCAACACTATCTTTAGTTACTGATTGCTTTTTCAATATCTGATTAGTATGTCTTAATCCAAATTCTGGTTAAGATTATTACTAGATGTAGTCTGGTCATACAATCTCAGATCTGAAAAACATTTTAAGGGTAATCTATATCAACCCTAAACTTGATGTGGGAACCTACTCTAAACTATCTCTAACAAGTAGCACTCCAATTATGGCTTGAACAGTTTCCATAACAGGAAACTCATGGCTTCATGACAAAAACAATTCCATATTCAGATAATTTTAATGGTTAGAAAATTTTTCTTATTTTGAGCCAAAATCTGAGCCTTGTCATTTACACCCATTGGTGCTAGTTCTATCATAGAAAGAAATACTGAATAAATCTCATTTCTCTTCTATATAATAGTCCTTCAAACATTTGAAGACTATATCATGTCTCCCCTTATATCTTTGTTTTATATCTTTATATCTTCCCACCTGATCTTGACTTATTGCTTATATCTCTGATCTCACCAGTGTGATTACTCCTTTCATTGATTCTTATCATGGCCCATCCACATCTTCACATCCTGTGTGGTTCTTCCTCATATCTTTCTGTAAACTTTTCACAGAAGATCCTCCTGGCATGCATTTAGCTCTTCTAATATTTCTTGGACCTAGTGCAGCACATAAGACATATGTCAAAAATTCCCTTACACTTGGACATGGCCAACCAACACTCCTTTAATGGTCACATGTGTTCATGAGGATATCTTTTATTTCAGGACTTTAATTCTATCTTAATATTGTTTGAGCTACTCTTTACAGTTTGAATTTCATCTGCGCTGACATAAAATATGAAATCAAAACACAATTTGAGCATATTACATCATTAACCCTAGCCAATAGCTGTCTCCATTCTTGTTTTGTTTTTTGTTCCAAATATAACTTTAATAAGTTTTTTTGGTTATCTTTAGTATTTTTTGTAGGTCTTGGCTTATTCTGGGCATTAGCCTTCCCAACAATATTCTTACAGGTTGATGGTATTTTTATAATAATAACAACAATTATTATTATTAATCCACAGTTATGTCCCCTCGCGTCCATATTTTCTAACTGTTCTTCTAAAATGTGAGCCCACTGGAGATCTCCCTGAAGAGCCATTTCAACTTCTAGAGAGAATATCAGTGTCTCCCAACAGAATGTAAGCAAAAGCTCCCTTCAGGGCACAGACTGTTTTCATTTTTTTCTTTATATCCCCAGCAGCTAATAGTTCCAGGCATAATGTTGGTGCTTAATAAAAGCTTATTTAATGGACAAATGATTGAATTTGCTCATTTTCTTGCTCATTAGGTTCATTTGGTATTGTGTTGTCAGATTTTTATGGATGAACATCTCCCAACATACCTGCGTCATCTTCTCCTTTAGATTCTGAGGACATAGGGATATGCTTATCATTGAATACTCGTCCTGGAGCAAAGATTTGGCTTCAAAATCCTTCTCAGCATTTACTAGCTATGTGACTCCAGAAAAAAATCACTCAAAATAGGGATAACAACAGCAACTAGCTCACAGGATTGTTTTGAAAGTCAAATGAGATAATGGATGCAAAGAACTCTTCATAAATTTAAATGACTATAGAAATAGGAGATTTTCATCGTCATTACCATCATCATCATCATCATCATCATCATCATCATGCCTCTGATATTTCTGACAACCATTTTCATGCTAACTATAAGACTTTAGGCAATATTTTGAAGTTTTCTGAACCTCAGTTTCTCCCCCTGTAAAATTGGGAAAATAATATTTGTATTACCTACCTCACCGTGCTGTTTTAAGGAAAGTACTTTATAAATCTTACAGCACTTTAAGTGCTTGTCTTGGACAAGAAAAATAAGGCAGGTAATTAAAGAGCAAACTATTATTGTACCTTGAGAGGATATACTCATGTGAGGACATGCATCATATTTGGGGAAACATTAAGATATCAAAAAAGAAATGATATGATCATTAAAATGCACTCCAGACAACCTGAACAGACAGTGGAAATACATGAGAAGTTAAAGAAATGGATCACAAACCTGGCAGAGAGGAATAATATTATATTGATGGAGACTTCAATTAGCTGAACTTCTTCTGGAGCTCTCTCAATAAAAAGCAGAATAATTATTAATTTATTGATTTGATTTAACTATAATTTCATCCTTCAAAATGGGGAGGCACCAACAACAGGGAATCCTTTAATGAATTTTATTCTTACTAGCAAGGTGAAACTGGTAGAAATAATGGCATCCTTGCAGGGAAATAACCACTTCATCTTAGATTTTGAGATAAAGGGCAGCTAGGTGGTGCAGAGTCAGGAGGACCTGAGTTCAAATCTTGCCTCAGAGACTTGACACTTACTAGCTGTGTGACCCTGGGCAAGTCATTTAACATCAATTTCCTCCCCCTAAAAAAATTTTGATAGAGAAAAAAATTCAGGAAAAGTCTGGCCTATGCCCTATATTCTGGGAGATCTAATTCCAAAAGGTTCCAAGAAAGGATATGTAATATTTCATGGACTAAAATTCTATAGCAGAAGTCATTTCCATGAGGTCTATGAAACTGTGAAGATCCCAAGAAATAATTCCAATGAGCAAGAAAATGGAGAATTATGGGAATATCCCAACAAACTTAGATGCATACTGAAGATAAAAGCAAGTCAGATTATGGAGAAAGAATATAAAAGCACGATCTAGTGCTATAAGCCCAGCATCAGAAGTCAAACTCAAAATGAGCAGGAGCTGGTGAGGAAATCTAAGGACCACAAAAGGTTTATGGTTTTGGTTTTTTGTGTTAGCAATACTGGGGAAATGAGGAGGTTCAAAGAAGAGATGTCACTGCTGCTCAGCAGGAATTGGATGATAATATTTAATGACAAAGAAAAGGCAGAGTGGTTCCATTCCTATCTTCTGTTTTTCTTTTCACTGGCAAGGAGGATAATTTCTGGTCTGCAAAGATGGGAGAAAACAATGCATAACAGGAAATTCCCCAATGAGTAATAGGAACTTGGTGCCCAAAAGTCCTAAGGAGAAATTACAAGAGCATAGTTGCTTTGGTGAAATCAAACAGCAGATATGATTTCTGGGGCACTCTCAGTGACCTTTAAGAGACTGCAGAGAATGGGAGAACTACTACAAGATTGGACAATGTCAAACATTGTTTGATTTTCAAAATGGCAAGAGAATTTAGTCTACAGATCATTTGGTCAGTGAGTTTATTTCAATTCCTGGTTAAAAAAAATCTGAGCACAGTCCTTAGGTTACAGAATCATTAATTAAGTTACACAGTTGCAGAATTTCATAAGTCATCTGGACCAACCTGTACATGAGCAGGGATCCCTCTTACAACGTACTCCACAAATGATCTTTCAGCCTTGTTTGAAGACTTTCTGTGAGGGAGAACCCAGTACTGCCCCCTAAAACATCTCTTCTCCAAACTAAAAATTCTGAGTTCTTCCAACCAATCATAGAGCATAGTCTCATATGTCCTCATCTTCTTAGTTGACCTTCTCTTAGCCAGCTTGTCAATATCCTTTCTAAATAAGTAGCACAATACTCAAATCAGAACACAGCACAGCAAGGTTATCACCTTCCCCTTTTTGGACACTAGTTCTCTCTTAATGCAGTCTAACATTTTTTAACATTTTTGGCTACCATGCAATATTGTTTGATCTCACTAAAGCCTTCAGTTTTTTTCACATTAATTATTGTCTAGTCATGTCTCTTCAATCCTTATGAAACTAATTTTTTTTCTTATCTATTCAGAGAATTTTTTAAATTTTCCCAGAGTCACACAGCTAGTAAGTGTCAAATGTTTGGTCTGAGTCTGGATTTGAACTCAGGTCCTCCTGACTTCAGGGCCAGTGCTCTATCCACTGTACCACCTAGCTGCCCCCCTATTCAGAGAATTTTATATTATCCTCAACCCCCTCCCAAATGGCCCATTCTGGTCCCTCATTATATTACAGAACGAATATTGTATTCTTGAAACCATGCTGGCCAAATACAAGCTCTAACAAGTTCTACAAACAAGAAAAGCTTTGAGTATGAGGCTACTGATACACTGGGTGTCTTACAAGGTCTAGACAAGTTCAGCTAGGTTCATCACCAACAGAACAGTCACCTTACAGTGATTTTGGTCTCAGCTCATGAAGAATTATCTATGAAGCACACAGGGGTTGAAATCTGCATTTGTATAAAGAATACTAAAACTAGTAAAAATGTATGTCATTTGATAATCATCATGGAGCTATGAAAAATAAATATATGTTTTAAAATTGGGGATTCATTAGTTAACCTGAAGAAGAGAAACAAAGTCCCATTTTTTAGATATATGGCATGATAGATTTAGAACTAGAAGAGATCTTTGTGGTCATTTAGTCCCATCCAATCATTGTGTAGATGAAGAAATTGAGTCCTTGAGAGTTTAAGTGACTTCCTCAAAAACACAAAGGCAAAAAAGGCAGGACCCGTTACTTGAACAGTCTTCTGATTCCAGAAAGCTGAAGTTGGTAATCAATTAGTCCATATCTCCCTTAGTACAAAAAAGGAAATAAGCTTACATTATAATCAAATGAGTTTTTAGTATGTTTATATTAGACATAAGAACAGGTTTCTAAGGAATGTTATGAAATTATCCTTCCCATTAAAATCTAATCTATAGATACAGGTACAGACACGTTAAGTATGGAAATCCTTTCTCATCTATGATTCCAAGCTTATCATGCTTACCTATTCATCTGGTAAGACCATAAAAATGTACTTGCATGAGTAAAAGGCAGCATTTTTCACATACCTATCCTAGAAAATTGTATATACTATCTTCCTAAAGGAGACCAACTTCAGACACATTTAAATTCTACCCAGCTGATTCAGTTTTCCAAGTACTCCTCTCTTTAGCAAGCCTAGGGAAGCTATTTTCCATTCCCTAAACCTGCAATTTGGATAAGAAACTAAATATAGCTCAGGTAGAAGGTCAAGTTATTCTTCAAAACTTGCAAAAATGTGCTTCCATTAGACTGAGATTGAACTAATGCAAATATATAAACTGGATAGTCATTTTATCACACCACTCTCCAATGTCACGTACTTTTCAAGCTCATTGATTACGTATTTACTTTTTTAATCTCCCAATGACTCTATGTGCTAAAAATGTTAAAGTTATTTTGCCTATGCACACAGTGCAAGAAGGACTCTGAACCATGAAATACTCTTTTCAGCTACTCTGCCAGACATAGAAAAGACATGTGCTCAACAGGTATACTTCTATTACGAAGATCCAAAGGAGAAGACTAGAAAAGGGAGAAAAAGATTAGGCAATGAAGTGATTTGGTAACCACAAAGTCCTGGAAACTATAAGATCTTTGTTTCCTGGAAACCCTTAGGCTTACACTTTTAATCTTTCCCCTCGATAACCTCTGAGTTGGGTTCTTAATGAGACAATGCAGGGCAAGAAGAGGAAATAAGAGAAGAAAAGGAGGGCATATTTCTGAGCCTAACCTTTCTGTTTCCTCAATAGAGGGGAGAAGTAACTGAAGCCAAGACAGACAGACTTTTTTGGTTTTTTCTAAATAAGTTTTATTGATTTTTTTTATATTACCAAATTTTCCTCCAGCATCCCTCTATCCTATAGTACAAATAATATTTTAAAGACAAAAATACAATAAAAAGAAGGAAAAGCCAGCATAACTGATTAACACAACAAAAAAGTCCAAAAATACATGCAATGTATCACCCTCTTGGTAGGATGCGGAGGGGGTAGGATGGGACTATATATTTAAATAAATCCTCTCTTTGTAGGCATGCTTGCTCTTTGTAATTTTGCATCACTTTCTTTTGATTTTTTTTGTAGCTGATCTTTCTATTTACATTGTTGTAGTCATTGTGTATACTGTTATCCAAGACCTGCTTACTTAATTCCCCAGGAACTCACGTAGATATTTCCAGGTTTCTCTGTATTTATCACTTTCTACAGCATAGTAATATTCTATTACCTTTATGTACAATAATATGTTTAGCCATTCCACAACATATGGGGATCTACCATTTACCAATTTGTTGTCAGTTCTCTGTTATCACAAAAAGTGTGGCTAAATATTTTGGTGCATATGGAGACCTTCTTATCAATGGTTTCTTTGGGGTATAACCCTAACAATGGAATCTCTGGGTCAAAGGCTATGGGAATTTTGGCCACTTTATTTGTATAATTCCAAATTGATTTCCAAAATGCTTTTACTAATTCATAGCTTCACCAACAATGCACTAGTGTACCTATCTTACCACAAACCCTACAATATTGACTATTCTCATTTTTGTCATCCTTGCCAGGCAATTTTTTTTTCAAGAAGCTAAGCATGTCTAAAGGAATCTGATTCATATTGGTAATATTTAACTTAATTTTAATATACTTTTTCTCTTTCAAGTTTTTTCATACTGAGGGAAAAGAAAATATGGCAAGAGAAATAATGAAAAGAACAAAGTAAATAATACAAATTGCATATTCCAGCAGCTATTTAGTTATCCAAATGTGCCCTGAAGTGAATAGTAAGAACAGCCTTATTTCATGTTAGTTTACTCCCATGCTATTAGCCACTAATATGTTTTGAGAAGTTAATACTGTGCCTTTGTGCTAGAAGAACATAACCAATACAGTTATAGTTACCTATTGATTATCTATAAAAAACCAGGGTAGAAGACTTTAGATGTCCCCTTCTCCAAACCTCCATTCTAGGCTCTGTAATGCTTCATGGTACTTGTATTTGACTCTGAGTATGCCTCACATTCTGGAAATTTACAGAACTTCAAACAAAATTATCAAGATACTTCATGAAGGTCCAACTCAGAATAAGCTGGAAAGCCAGCTAGATTCCCAATTCTACTCTCTTGCTCATCTCTCCCCTCTCTGCTCTTCACTCCATGCTTTTGAATTTTCCCTTTTTGGACTCAACTGATGCTTTCTCAGAACACTAGCTGGTAGTTAATTGTGTTGGCTTGTGAGGCCTTTCTGTATGCTACCTAGGTTTGGAAAAGGGAACCTCAGGTACCTTACCTTTCTTGTCCTTTCTGTTTACTGTTATAGTTGGCACAGAAGTCATTGCCTAGTTGGGCAACAACAGAAAAGAGAATATCATCAAAGGTACCAGAAACAAATCCAACACTGGTAAAAGATTAAAGATAAGCTCCAAATATGCAGCAAGGTGATAAAAGCTTAGAGTAAATAAGAGCTGGTCAACCATTTTACTGACAGATGTGTTTCATTTATACTAAACGTATGACTGTTGTATACATGTCAAAGTCAAGAATTCAAGGTATATCTAGACATTTCATTATTTGAGTAATTAACTTTTACACAGTATTAAAACATTGTCTTAAATTCTCTCTTGGCCATAGTGAATTGCAAGCATATGGGATGCCCAGGTCTGGGGAGTTTGAAGGGTTTTGGTAATTGTTGCTTCCCTTACACACCTTTAACTCATCCTTTCCGAAAAGAAAATTGAGGAAAATATTTTAACATCATTCAGAAGTTGATTATCAAGTAACAAAAATGTCTGGACATGCCTTGATCTCTTGACTTGTTATGCACATGACAATCACATTTTTAGTGTAAATGAGATACCTCAACTTTTGACTACCCTAAGCTGTTATCACCTTGCTCTGTATCTGGGATATATCTTTAATCTTTCATCAGAACTGATTTGTTTCTGATGACTTCGATGTTATTTTCTTCTCTGTTGTTGCTCAACTAGAAGCTACTTGTGCACCAACCATAACAGTAAGTGGAAGGGAAAGGAAGAGTTCTTGGGGTCCCTTACTCAAATCCAGACAGCAACCAGAATGGCAAGCCAATGTATTAACAACCTGCCCTCATCTATTGGAAGGTAAAAGGCAACTAAACAATGATCTGGCAGTAGCACAGTGGATAGGAATCTATCCCTGGAGATTTACTAGCTTTGTGACCCTGGGTGAGTCACTTAGCCTCTATCTGCCTCATTTTCCTCTCCTATAAAATGGTGATGACAACAACCTACCTCCCCGAGTTACTATGAAGAGCAAATGAGATAATATTTGCGAAGCACTTATCATAGCATTTGGTACATAGTAAGTGCTTAATAAATTCTTGTTTCCTTCCTTATTTCCTGAGAAAACATCAGCTGAATCCAAGAAGAAAAGATTGGTATTTTTAGTATGGAGTGAGGAACCGGGGAGGGAGAAGATGAGCAACAGGAGAATCCGGAATCTGGCTAGCTTTCTAGTTCATTCTGAGTTGGATCTTCATGGAACATTTTGATCATTTTGTGTGAAGTTCTGTAAATTCACAGAATGTGAGGCATACTCATTGTCAAACACAATTACCATAAAGTATCCAAGAGCTTAGTTTGGAGGTTTGGGGAGGAGGACATGATCTGCTTTCATTTGGGTATCTAAATAGCTGCTAGAATATACATTTATGTGGTGTAATTTGTTCCTTTTGTTATTTCTCTTATCTTAATATGAAAAAAAATGTTGAAAGCGAAAATGTATATTTTAAACTAGGGTAAATATCACCAACATGAATCAGATTTTTTTTTTTTAGAATTGCTTAGGTTCTTCAAAAGTCTGCCTTAGTAGTGGGTAGTGCAGGATTGGAGTTCGATGAAGACATTAGAGCTGATAAACTGATTTGAGAGTCAACTGTATAGAGATGATCATTGAGTCCATGGGAGATGATGATATTATCAAAAAGAGAGTATGGAGAGAAGAAGGCTTGAATCAGGTCAAACCAAGGACCTGGGAAGGCAGTGAAGTGGAGACCATACCTATTTTGTTATCTTTTTTTGTATGAGTGAATATTTCACCTTTGATTTGCACACTGTCAACGAACCCTATAGTTAGATCCCCAAAATCCCATAATCCTGAAATGGAATTAAGCAGTTATGAGGACCAACAATATTACTTTCCCTCTGTGTTTTCATTTAGTCCCTTTGAGCTACTGTGATACCTGCAGACACTTCGAAAAATACTTACCCAAAGAGATCACATGACCTACATGAGTCATTACGGCTGCCTCTCTGAAAAAGCTAAATTAAAGTGTAAACTTTATAAAAAACACAATTGAGGATGCTGAAAAAGTGAATATGTCAGAAGACAGGTACAGATTGTAAGAGATTTCTTACTTCTTTCTATCTTTTGAGATTGTCTCATGGTTTTCCTGTTATTTTAGGTAAGTCAGATGCTTCATTATATATTTTCAGGCAGCTGTGTATGTCATTCTGTCTTATTTATCATAAAGATACAGTGCCTCTTTGTTGTCATTTGCATTCAAGTTTAGAATTGTGTTGTGTGCAGGGAAAGAGTACTTTAGTCTCTGCACTGAACCATACACTAAATGACAGAAACTATCCACTGTCACTTAGAGATAGTTCTTCTCATGGAGAACAATATGAGCAGTTGTGGTAGGAGCTATCCAGATGCATCTGATTTAAGGGAAGATGGAAGGTAGGACAGCTTCATTCAGCTGGTTATAAACATATCCACATGCCCGAGGAAAGCTGAGTGTCACAAGTTAGGGAAACTCACTGCAGAATTTGGAATTTCATTCTTAACTCACACTTGAACACCATCAATCCTGGATGACATCTCTTTCACCACACTCAGTGTTTTTTATCCTAGTATCCATAGCCTGCTTTCAATCTCAACCCTGCACAGATTCTGCTTTTAGCTCTTTAGCTCAGTACCTGTATCACTGATAATAGACTCTCAACTCATCTGATGCCCCTGTATCTTCCCTGAATGAGAATCTCCAGGATGATCCCTCTTCTCACTTTTCAGCTGGGGAGGTTTCAACTAGTGTCATGGAACACTCTTATCCTTGGTCTACCCCTGAAAGGAACAGTAGAAAAACAAGACTTGGTCAAAGGACTAACCTCTAGCCTGCCAAAGACCTTCAGAAATTCATTGTTGATCAGTACGTATTTATTAAGCCAGGCACTGTACTAAGTACTGGAGATATAAAAAAAGAAAAAAGACAGTGTCTGTTCTCAAAAACCTTACGATTTAATGGTAGAGACAACAAGCAAACTAATATGTACAAACAAGTTATATACAGAATAAATAAAAAATTATTAAAAGAGGGAAGGTAGTAGAATTAAGAATGGTTAGAAAAGGCTTCCTGTAGAAGGTGGAATTTTAGATGCGACTTGAAGGAAGCCAAGGAGGTCAGTAGTGAGAGTAGAGGTGTGAGAGACTTCCAGGAAGAGAAAATGACTGGAGCTGAAAGATGGAGTGTCTTGTCCATGAAATAAATAGTCAGGTGTTCAATGTCACTGAATCAAAGGGTGAGGTGATGAGTAATGCATAAGATGACTAGAAAGGTAGGAAGGGGTTTAGTTATGAAGGGTTTTGAATACTAAACAGAGCATTTTTGCATTTGATCCTGGAAGTAATAAGGAACCACTGGAATTTATTAGATGGGAGGGGGAGGTGATGTGGTTGGACCTGAACTTTAGGAAAATCCCTTTGGTGGCTGAATGGAGGACAGACTTGAGTGAGAAGAGACTTGAAGCAGACAGACCCATCAGCACAAAATGCAATTGCAAAGGCTATTGTAGTAGTCCAGGCATGGGTTGGTGAAGGCCTGCACTTGAACAGTGGTCGTGTGAGAAGACAGAAGGTAGTTTATTTGAGGCATGTTGCAAAGGTGAAATCAACAGGCCTTGCTAATAGATTGGATTGGGGTCTTGGGGGTTATAGATAATGAGGAGTTGAGGATGACACCTAAGTTGCAATCCTGAGTAACTGAGAAGATAATGTTACCCTTGATAGGAATAGGGAAGTTAGGAGGTGGGGCATGGTTTAAGGGGAAGATAATCAGTTTTGGACATGATGAATTTAAGATGTCTATCAGACACCTAGTGCTAGATATCTGAAAGGCAGCTGGAGCTGTGATATTGGAGTTCAGCAGAGGTGTTAGGGCAAGAAAGATTTTAGAATCATCAACATGGAGATGGTAATTAAATCCATGGGAACTGAAAAGGTCACCAAATGAAGTCACAGAGAGGGAAAAGAGAAGAGAGCCCAGGACAGAATCTTGGGGAACACATATGGTCAGAGAAACGGAGTTAATTTAAACTTTTTGGGTCTCAGGTTCACTAGTGGTAAATGGAAATGGCACTGGACCTGGGATTTCACTGGTGGAGTGCCTACACAGATCAGCACCTACCTTGTAACATTTAGTCTTTATAGTTGCCTGTGGCATCAAAATGTTAAGTGATATGCTCGGGGTTACACATAACTAATATGTGTGTCAGAAGTGCACCTTGAACACAGGTCTTCTTGCTTTCAAGTTCACTACCCCACGCTAACTCTCTGCTACAAAATAAGGATAACAATATTTGTATTACCTACCGTATAGAGTTGTTGTAAGGGTCAAATAAGATCATGAATGTAAAGGGCTTGGGAATCTTTAAAGTACTATGAACAGAACAGAACTTGATAGCTAGTAACAGCTGAGCTAGACACAGTGATCTGGCAAAAAAGAGAACAATGTCATTCCTTACACAGTCTTTTGGGACTCTTGGCCCCAGAGCTGTGCACAGTAAGCACTACTTCCACCTGCCCCAAAGGACTTCCCCTTCTTCTGGGAGGGTATCACTTCCTGATGCCTCCTTATAGCCAGCCTCCTCAAGTGAGAAGACCTCAGACAAGTTAGTGCCTTGCACCTTACATTCCTGCTGGACTCAACACATCTTTTGAGGGAAGGCAGCAAGTCACCCGGTCAAGTATCTTCCACTTTCCCCAAAGGAACCACTTCCATTTGTACTAGCACGAGGCAACTTCCACCCCCTGATTCTGGCTCAATGTCACACCTGGGATATGGAGAACCTCTAGTGCAAAGATGAGCAACCTTCTCTTTGACTTCAAGTCTTCCATCTCCTGCTGTGCCCATCCTTTGAAGAAAAAGGAAAAGAAAAGTTGGTGGATAATAGGACTTCTTTCTCTTGCTGTGCAGGTTCAATTTCCACCTCCAGCTGTACTTGTTTCCAGCCTAATCTCCAGCCTTTGGAGGGTTGAGGCCTCCCATCTGACCATCTGACTGTGTGCCTCCAATCTCATATCATACTTGCCTCCAGCCCAATCTCCACCCTCTGTTGGGTAAAGGAGTTGCACCCTCCACTAAATAATGAACATTCTCACATCTGACCATTCCCTTCACATTCCAGTGACTCTGAACTCCATATATCATCATCCAAGCCCCATTCTCCAGCCCTTCACCACCTAAATCCTCATTCCCATCCCCCTCAACGCTCCCACCCCAAAGCTTCAACCTAACTCCACTCAGCCCTTCTACTGTGCCCTCTGCAATGTCTGTTCTATATGCAACAAACTTCTCTTCATCTTAAATGTATTCATCTCCCATTCCTTCCATCTACTCACTCTTACTGAAACCTGGCTCCCCTCTGATGACACAGCCTCCCTGGTTACCTTTTCCAGTACGGGTTGCACCTTCAATAATTCTCTTTATCTCACTGGTCCTGGTGGAGGAGTTGGAATACTTCTTGCTCCCCAGTGACACTTCCAGGTTCTCTTCCTTCTTCCATCACTCAATAACCTCTCTTCCTTTGGAGTTCATGCTATTCATATCTACCACCCAATCAAAATCCTGACAGCTGTATCTAAAGAATCCCAAGTCACTCCCCTTCCTTCCTCACAATTAGCTTCTCCTCCCTAATTCCTGCTCTCATACAAGAGAACTTCATCATGCATATTGACTCTCCCTCAAATACCCTCAGAAACCCATTCAGTTTCTCAACCTATTCATTTCCCATGAGCTATTATTTCACCCCTACCTCAGCTACATTCAAAGATGATCATACCTTTTATTGTGCCATCACCCACAAATATCCCACCTCTATGTTCAATTCTGAAATCCTCTTATCTAACCATAATCTATTGGCTTTTCCCCCCTTTCTCTGTCTTCCTTCACAAAATCCTACTATTCAGTCACACTTTGGTCTCCAGTAGCTTGACCCCTTAATTCTCTCCCAGTCCATCTTCCTTACATTAACCACTCTCTTCTTTTTTACCCATCTTGACCTTTGACAAACCAATTCAACTCTACACTATCCTCCTATCTTGAATCCCGAAGCCTGTTATCATATTATCAATGATGTCTGGCCATGCCTCAGCTTTGGATCACTTCACTATTCATTGCCTTCACTTCTATACATTTACCATGGAATGAAGATGGAGAAATACACCCAACCACTCTGACTAGATCCACTACATATTTGTGTTACACATGCTCAACTGGGCCCTTGCTGATGCTAGACTATGCTACTCCACATCCCTTATCAGTTCATTATCCCATGCTTCACAGTGGCTCTTCTAAATCATCTCTTCCCTCCTCAAACTTCTCATGGTGCCCCTTCCCTTAATTCCCTCAGCTGAGAAACTTTCTTCATATTTTACAGGAAAAAATGAGGCCATTTGTTATCAACTCCATTTTCTCCCCTCTTCCTCATCTCCTATCAGACAGATGCCTTCTGCCACTATTTCCTCCTTTCCTTCTAACATGATAATCCTTATCAAGGCTAAACCTTCCACTTGTTCACATGATCCCTTTCTATCCCATCTCCTTCAACATATTTCACCCTCTGTCATCCTTATTCTTTCACTTATTTTCATCCTCTCCCTGTCTACTGTCTCATTCCCTACAACCTACAAACATGTAAAAGGCTCCCCTACCCTATAAAAAGACCCTCACTTGGTCCTTCCAACCCCATTAACCATCTTCCTATATTTCTTCTGCCCTTTCTAGGTAAATTCCTCAAGAAGGCTGCTTCCACTTTTTCTCCTTTCGTTCTCTTAACTCCTTACAATCTGGTTTCAGACCTTATAATTCCACCAAAATTGCTCTCTCCAAAGTTACTAATGATCTCTTAGTTACCAAATCCAATGCTTTTCTCTCAATCCTCATTCTCCTTGACCTCTCTGTAGCCTTTGAAACTGCTGATCACTGTCTCATTCTTAATACTCTCTTCTACCTAGGTTTTTGGGACACCACTCTCTCCTGGTTCTCCTCCTACCTAATTGACCACTCCTTCTTTGTCTCCTTGGCTGGATCCTTTTCCAGAGGATGCCCTCTAACCTTATGTGTCCTCAAGGTTTTGTCTTGGACCCTCTCTTCTTCTCTCTCTGTACTACTTCACTTGGTGATCTCATCCATTTCTACGGATTCAATTATCATGTCTCTGCTGATGATTCTGAAATCTATCTATTTTGACCCAAACTCTCTGCTGACTTTCAAGGTCACATCTCCAAGTGGCTTTCACACATCTTGAACTGGGTGGCTAGTAGACATCTCAAACTCAGTAGTTCCAAAATAGTCATTATCTTTCTCCCTAACACCATCCCTGCCTTTAACTTCCTTTGACTATAGAGGACAACACAATTCTCTCGGTCCTTCAGGCTCACAATCTAGAAGTCATCCTCAACCTTTCACTATCTCTTACACACCCCATCCTATATCCAATCTGTTGCCAAGGCCTGTCGAATACACCTTCACAACAGCTCTCAAATACTTCGCCGTCTTTCTTTTGACGCTACCATCACTCTAGTGCAGGCTCTCTATCACCTCATGCCTGGACTACTACAACAGCCTGCTTGTGGTTCTGCCTGTCTCAAGTCTCTCCCCACTCCAATCCATCCTCCATTCAGCCACCATAGTGATGTCCTAAAGTGCAAGTTCAACTATGTCACTCCACTACTCAACAAATTTCAGTGACTCCCTATTGCCTCCAGAATCCAATACAAAATGCTCTATTTGGCATTCAAAGCCTTCATAGCCTAAGCCCCTCCTATCTTTTCAGTCTTCTTATACCTTATTCTCCCAAACATCCTCTTTGATCCAGCGACATGCCTAGGTTGAAGGGAAAGGCATTACTAGTGGGGAGTGGCAATGAGGTATGGAGCCTTTTGTCTTTCAAACTAATCCAGTATGGTTGTAAACAAGTGTTCATTGGAATCAGACAAATAGATAAATGACCTCACTTAGTTTCCAGAGATGCCATCTGCCAGAGTTAGCCATGGTGGCTTCTTTAGAAGAGAGGTTAATTGAATAGGTTTCTGACTATCCAAAGAAAATGCAACTCTGGTCCAGGCTGCTTATTTTTTATTTATTTTTATTTATTTTCCCAGTTGGTGGACTTCTTTGTATAAGGCATACTATTTGCTATACGCATTCAGTGATGTGTTCCCCCCTCCCCATGAAAGAAAGAGAAAGAACAACAAAAAAAAACAAAGAAAAAAGAAAGCAAAGAAGGAAAGAAAGAATAAAATCAAAAGATAGAAAGGTCAAGTAGAAGGATTTAAAAGAAAGTTAAAGTCTTCAAGTCATGTTGCGAGTTTTCAATTCAGTTACTTGTTTTTTGACTGTCTCTACCCTGGACGAGCCAGGTCTTCACAAGTTCTACCACAGGAAAAATTAAGTAAACATTACCAACTGTGGCTTGTAATTACTTGTCACCCTTCATTCCTACTAGACATACTTTTCATCCTTTTTAAAAAATCTGCTGTATTTAATGCCTTGAATCACCCTACCAATGGGAATATTGTTTGCGTCAGTGCCACTGAGTAAGCGTCTCCAACCTACCATGTCTGGAAAAAGCCCTAGACATTCAATTTTTCATCAGTCACAAGCATGGGAAAATACTACTCTTCTATCCTGTTTATATCAGGACTGTGCTATACAATTGTCCATGGTCTTAAAAGAAAAACAAAAAATCACAATGGGTGCTTTTGCCGTGGCTGCTTGATCCAAATTTAACTATTAATCTCTACACACAGTTCAAAAAGCAATGGGACTTATTTTAGATGACTTTCTAAGTTAAAAACAGTTTACACGTGTTAAAGCATGAAGTGAAATGTTTCTGAAAATGCATAAATAAATCAAAGGGATATTATTAGTTACTTAATGGAGTCAGTGGTTCAAGTAGCAGCAATTAGTAATCAATAAACAGTGACTAACCTAGGCATCTCTTCCTCTCAGAAATTACTCAAAGGACAGTTAGGTTTGGGGAGCATTCCCAGAAATCCCTCCACTTTTGTACTTTTAGCAGTGATGCTCCATATACTTTAAAACAACATAAGTACAGGATATTAGATTTAAAGCCTAGAGACCATCAAATTTAACTCCTTCATTTTATAGATGAGGAAATCATACAGTTACAGGGGTTAGAGACTTGACCAGAGTTACACAGCTAGTAACTGATGGCGGATTCAGACTCAGGTCTTCCTAACTCCAAATCCAGTGGGTAAAAACTCACTATGCCATCTACCTGCCTCTGGTCCAGTTTACCTATTTTCCCCTTTTGTCTTTGGTTCTTTGTAAGTGGAAAATAAGAGGTTTATAGTTTTTAATCCCATACCTTTGGAGAACAAGGCTTCATCCCTGTGGCTATTTAGTGCATAGAAATGAAGTGATGTATAATGATTGTCCTAGAGTCCAGAAAACCTGGATTCAAGTTCTGCCTCTGACACATCTTGATCATATGACCATGAACAAATTTCTAAAGTGCCCACAGACAACTAAGCCCATAAATTACAGAAAAAATGTGCTGAACATGAAAAGATATTCTGTTTAAAGTATTTTTAAAATATACAACAAATAAGGAGAAAAAGGAAAAGTAAAGTTAAATCTCTTAATGGAGAGTGTTGACCCCAAGGGAGCTCCCTACACCTATGAAATAACAGGTCCTATCCCCATCCCCCCCCCCAAATTTCAATGAATAAGAAACTCTTTCCCATATCAGTGCTCAATGATTGCACTACTACCCCCACATACCTTTTCTTGTATGTGTGAGTGCCTGAGTAACTGGGAAATTTCATCTTAATCTTCTGTTGCTGACAGTTTTCATCTAAAAATAATGGTTAATCTGCTTAGCATGTCAGGAAAGTTTTTTTATTCTGCAGTGTCTGGAAAAAAGGGTTGGCCTGCTGCTGCTGAAAGTGATCTCTCTAGCACCCCAAGGAACCATGCAGACAATCTCCAAAGTGTATTCTACCCCTTCCTGAATTTGGCAGCATTCTTCTGGGGAGAAAGGGAGATGAAGCTAGGAAGCACCAGGCTTATTTTCAAGCCTTCACACAGCCTAAGGACCACTGCTCTTCCAGGTCACTACCTAAGAGAAAAGAATGAGTCCCACTGTCATAAAGTTTGCTTTTTCATTTTCCAGTAATATTATGAAATGAAACATTAAGGGTTACTTTCCAAGAAAAGGGTTGCAAGTGGCTTAAAAGCAAACACTCTTTTTTGGTTTTAACATGAAAAGAGCTGGTATAAAAATTTTCCTTTCCACACATAAAATTCCAAACCCTAAGATTTTACCACCACAAGTTGAATGTGTGCCCTGGTCTCTCACAGAATGGGCATTAGCCTCCTAGACTGCTTCCTCTGTGTGGGGTGAGATATGCTTATGGGCCTTGGACTCTGCAAGGTTACTGTATGAGTACTGTAAACATCTGGATTCACTTACCAGTTAACAAAATAAGGAAGTCATTGCTCTCTTATTCATCCAACAATTTTAATTTTATTCTTAGCCCCCTCAAGATGATTTCATCATGGAAGAGAAAATAAAAATTAAGAAATTTAACTTTACTTTTTCCTATTTCTCTTTATTTGTAGGCTATTTTAAAAATACATTAAACAGAACATCCTTCACGTTCAGCAAAATTTAAAGCATTTTTGAATACAACTAAGCCTCTGAAGTGAAATTTTATTTTAAATGTTTAACTTTACATGTGCAGAAGCACTGTAATACAATGTCTAGCGAGCTGGCCTTGAGCCAGGAAGACCTGCGTTCAAGTCCTGCTTCTGTCATAGACTAGCTTTGTGATCCTGGGCAATCACTCTATCTGTCAGTGATCTCGGCAATTATCTGAAGACTCTGAGTTAAAACAAGGTGCCAACTTGCAGTGGTAGAGAGGATTTCTTTTTTTTTCTTTTTGTTTTTGGTGAGGTGGTTGGGGTTAAGTGACTTGCCCAGGGTCACACATCTAGTATTAAGTATCTGAGGCTGGATTTGAACTCAAGTCCTCCTGACTCCAAGGCCAGAGCTCTATTCACTGCACCTCCTAGCTGCCCCAAGAGAATTTCTTCATCTAGGAGTTTCTTATATCAGTTAAATCACAGATCCAGTTCCTATACCTAATTTCACATTTAGGCTAACTTTGCAACCACCATGAAGTAGAATAATTACCTAGGGAAATTAGTAAATAGTGTCCTCCTTGCTCTTTATGGCCACTTATTGATCCCCTTTCTTCAGCCCTTAATGCTGCAGCTTCTCCTGTGAGGTTCACTCCAACCATTCAGAGGCTTTTGGCAGTTAATCTACCAGTCCCCTCTTTATTTTCTCAAAGAGTTCATCACCTAACTGGCAATCTTCCTCTCTCCCCCAATCTCTGCCAGCAAATGTGAGGGACGTCAGCATAAACACGGATGTCCCTTCAAGCAACTGGCTTCTCAGTTCCTCAACCTCAATTCCTATTCCCCGCACCTTCACTCCAATTCAGCCACACACAGGAATAACTGTCCCCTCTATCTTGCCATGACCTAACGGGTTGTTCACCTCACATGAAAGATTTTGATTTCTCTATCTAATCATAACTTCCTATCTGTCCATCTCTCCTGTTCCTCATCCTTCTTAAATATATTATTTATCCTCACTGCCTCCTTCAATCACTCCCATACCTCTCTACCTTTAACAGGGCATCACTCTAACTCTGGCTTCACTTTCCTCCATTCTTCATTTTACTCTTCCCTGCTAGACTATCACACTTACCATGGCAACTATTCTAAACATATCCGTTGGCTAAAAGAGCCATTTGAACAAGACTCTCTTCAGTGTTGGAGATTGATTACCCATTATTCCATGCCTGCTTGGGGGGAGTGAAGTTGATGAGAACTTAAGAGAAGAGAGATTCTAGTCTTCTGGATTTCAGCTTCAAGAAAGAACAAGCTTGCTCTAGATTCTCTTCAGATTCCTAAAAGTTTTTGAGAAGAAAGAGAGAAATAGTGAGTTGTGTGTGGTTCATCTTTCATTCTCGAAGAGGATCATGACACCAGGGAGATGATGACATGATGTGCAATTGACTTTAATTTGAGTAAGGGAGAGCTTTGCAAAGCCTTCCACACAAGCTACCAAACAGAAATTTGTAAAGCATGTCTCACTATGTCACTCTCCTGCTCAATATGCTTTAATAGCCCCTGATGGCTTCTAGGATAAAATATAAACTTCCCTATTTAGCTTTAAAAGCCTTCACAATCTGGCTCCAAACTATTTTCTCCAGGCTGATTTTAAATTACACCCCCTCACAAACTCTGTATTCCAGCCATCCTGGTCTACTTGCTCATCCCTATATATATATATATATATCACTCCATTTATGCCACTAGGCCTTTGTGCATACATGCACACACACATACATACACACACATGTGAGTGCACACTCACAAACACACACCTAATGGAATTATCTCCCATCACACTTGTGCCTCATGGATTTCATAGCTAACTTTGAGACCCAGCTTCAGTGTCAACTCCCACACAGACCTTTCCTGATCCCTCTGATTGTTATTGTACTTCCAACTTAGCTGACTAGTTTGTATTTACAATATAAAGTATTTGTATTTACAATGCTTTACTTTATATGTATTTTACATTTATTTATTTGTGTGCATGTTATTTCTTTCCAGTAGACTATGGGCTTCTTGAGAACAATGAATGTTTTCTTTTCGTGTTTGAACTACTAGGGCTTTCATTGTGAAAAGGTGACTAATAAAGGCTTGTTGACTTGAATGGAATCAGATTGCATGATGGGAAGAATGACAAATGATGGATCCTTCAAAGTATCCAGGTGAAACAGTTAAAATTTTAAGATGATAAAATCACTAAATAATCCAAGTAGAGGAAGTACAATTATACAAGTAAGCACACCCCATACTTCATTAAAGTATGAACTGATAAAGTAACAATAATAATTTTATTAAATCAATGCTTATTGGTCAGTGCAAGGGAAGTGAATCTTTTGGAATTGTGTGGATTTGCTTTTCAAACATTTATTAATCACCTACTATGTGTTAGGCACTGAGGACAGTAACCAAAAATTTAATAGTCCTTGCTCTCAAGGAGCTTATGTCCAATGAAAGGTATCAAACATATATAGAAAATTAAATACAAAATATTACAATTCTGAGGGGAAAGGCATATGTCTAATATGAAAGGTAGTTCATTAACAGTAGAACAGGTTTCAGATAGTTCAGTAGAAAGATAGCATGGGTTAGAGACCTAGGAGCAATGAATTGACATGGATTGGCTTGAGGAAGAAAGGAGGGGTGGTCAGAGAAGTGAGCTTTGACCTAGGCAGTCTACTGGGTGCAGAGCCAAAGGCAATAAATTACTCAACCCTTAACAGAAGCAATGCTAATATAGATTTAATTGACAATTTCTGACCAAGAAATGGAAAGTGGGGAGGGAGTGGTCCTGCCCATTGGCAGGAAAGATGACCAATTCTTGATCTTGTCTGGTATTCAAGGCAAGGGTACTTACTTATATTCCTTTAATTTTCTACAAGAAATATTTTCACAAAGAAAGAATCTAAACTTTATTTCAAGAAAATTTACTATTGTTTATACAGTTAAGAGACACATAAAAATAAGCACATACTATAAGCCCTTAATAAAGAGCTTCCCTCTATGCCACATCCCATAAGCAGATGTAATGTGGAAAGTTATCTAAAAAGTGAAGCAGTAAGGAAGTGGTGATGAGGTGTGGCGGAGGAAGCAGGAAATGTGTGGGATATTGCATCTGGGCCACTTAAAAGAAAAATAATGACAAAGTTCCAAGTTAAGAGAGTAGCCCCCAATGCACACATACTCTGATGTAACAGTGTAAGGTAAAACATAGACAGAAGTAATACACTCACTTTAGCCACTAAATATGAAATCTAATGTGAAGAAACCTTATGTAGGAGTCAAATCCAGGGTGTAGGGTTTAGTCAATGTAATCTGTTCAATCTTTTGTCTATCAGTGGAATTATAAATAAACATATTGAATAAAACCCAGAAAATCAGATCTTCCAAACCAAAAGACAATCATCACAAACAGTTCAGGCTACAGCGCTACTATTTTAGACTAGATTAGAAAGAAAAGAGCCCACCAACCAAAAACTCTTAGCAATTGTCAACTGAATATCAAGATTTAGAGCTGGAAGTGATCTCAAAGACTACCAGGTAGAGTCTACTCATTTTACAGATGAGGATATAGTCCTAGAAAGTAAATGACTCATCCAAGATCACACAGTTAATGAGTGACAGCAGTAGGATCTGAACCCAGGTCCTTTGACTACAAATCTAGTGATTATTCCACCATGCCATATCTGTTTGCAAATTATCAGTGGAAGATAGATCTCTGTATCCTTACTGCTTGTTACTAGAAACTCAAAGATGGCAGATAGAAGTTTTATGGTAAAACATAGTATCCTACACTAGATTGACTATGATACAATCTCAGAGTTTTGATTTCTACCAAGCTTAAAAGAAACCAGAAAGTACTTCCTGCAATGGTTAAGGATATTTACATCACCATATAAAGAACTGCCAGTTTTTCAAGTAAGGCATGAACACATGTGGAATATGGCTTCTGAAACATAACCAAGATCATTGCCAAAAAGAAGTTGGCCATGATGGATGCTAAACTAAATGAGATTGGCTTCAGTTCATTTGTTGGTTTCCAGATGTGATTGTTAACAATATCCCCTTGCCCTGGAACCTGTTTCGTAGCTTATCCTAATTTTTCACCAAAAGAATGAGTTTGTTCCCTAACTTCCCCACACAAACCATTTTAGATAAGTCTCAGCTGCCCTGTGCCACCACTAAAACATGGGGTTTTTTTGGTCTTGCCTTAACCTTAACCAAAACAGGCCCTTATGACTGAGTGGTTGGATTTTGTTTCATCAAAATTAAGCATAATTTCAAATTGTCAAGACAAGAGAAAGCAGTGAAAGATGCATTTTAAAGGCACCAATTAACCTATTTATAGAGCACTAGATGCAAAAAAAAAAAATTGCTTGGTGTGCCTGAGTACACCTGTAACTCTGTAACTGCTGCCACTGGAGAGGCTGGTGGTTTTCCTGGACTCAGGAATTGTAGGCTGCAATAGGACTGAAGTCAATCAGGCGCCTGCACTGACTTCTGCACAAATATGATAAGTCCCAGAGCAGGGAGCTGACAAACTGCCTTAGAAGGGGTAAACAGGTTTAAGTAGGAAATGGAGCAAGTCAAACTTTCATTGCTGAATAGGAGTAAGCTTGGACTTGTGAGCCACAGATACACTTCCAGCCTGGGCAAGATATACCCAGCCTAAAAAAATATTGGCAGAAAAGAAGAATTTATAGTAGAAAGCATATCATATCTTAAGCAGCCTTTGAGCCATTGTAATAAAAGAAATGGATATGGAGTCAAAAGACCTGGATTCAAATTCTTGTCCCAACACACACTAGCTATGTGGCCAAGGGTAAGTCACCTAATTTCTCTGAAACTCAATTTTACTCCTTCGTAAAATGAGGTTAATGACATTTGCACTGCTTACCTTTCAGGGCTATTGTGAAGAAAGTCCTTTGTAAACCTTAAAGTGCCATGGAGTAGTGAATTATTATTTTTTATCCCTAGGATTATTAATCAGTCATCAAAAAAAATTCTGTAGGTCAAAGGACAGTAAAATGGAAGTGAAAGGGAAAGTAGGGTTTTTCTGAGTCATTTCCCCTGAGGGGAAAAGGTACCTTAAAAAAGCACAACATAGTTGAAGTACCCCCTTGAGCCATTATAATACAAGAAATGGACTTTGAATCAAGAGACCTGGGTTCAACTTCTTCTTCCAACACATACTAGCTGTGCGACCAAGGATTAAGTCACCTAATTTCTTTGAAATGTGGAAGGGCATGAGATGGTGCATGCCCTCACTGGCTACACTTGAAAGGATTAAAAATGATACAAAGTCCTTTCCTACGGCACATTTGGAAATGTGGCACCAACTCCTTGCCTTTTGGTTCTGAGATGCCTAAGAAGCACACAGACTTCACAACACGTCTGAAGATAGAGATGTGCTGGTTGGGCTCTACTACATAAATTAACTTAGATGAGACAGATTCTAGGGTTTGCAATGTGTCCCCTGGCCACAATACAACTTTGAAACAAATCTCCTTGAAGAATTTGTGTCTTTAAGTAACACAATCCAAGTTTATGCCCTAAATGATCAATTCTAAGCCAAAGGCTTAAAAACTTCACTATAAAAGTTTCCATATGGTAGGGAAAATATGCATTGTATATTATAAGACCAATGAATAAAGAAGTGATGTAGTAGCCTCAGGGAAGATGCATGATGTCTTGAGCGAGGAATGGGGAGCCCTGAGTTCTATTTTTGGGCTCAGCCCTGAACTAGTTCTGTGACTTTTGGCAAATTGATTCCACCCTCAGGGTTTCATTTTCCCATCTATGAAATGAGGGAATTGAACAAAATCATCAAAATCATCTCTAAGACCTATTCCTACTCTAGTAGTCTCTATTCTATAGGTATAATCCTATCCAACAAGTTGTTTTTCAAGGATTTTAAAAGAAGAGGGCAGCCAGGAAACTCAGAAGACCAGAGGGAAGCTATTATTGTTCAGCTGTTTTCAGTACCATCCAACTATTTTGGGACCACATTTGAGATTTTCTTGGCAAAGATACTGGAGGGGGTTGCCATTTCCTTCTCCAGCTCATTTTATAGATAAGGAAACTGAGGCAAACAGGGTTAAGTGACTTGCCCAGGGTCACACAGCTACTAAGTGTCTGAGGCTGGATTTGAACTCAGGAAGATGAGTCTTCCTGATTCCAAGCCCAGTGATCTACCCACTGTGCCACTAGCTTTCCCGTGAGTGAAGCTAAGAAACATTAGGTATTGAAAACAGCCTTGTATAAGCAGTTTCACAACTTAATTCCTCCTCTG